AGAAAGAAAGAAAGAAAGAAAGAAAGAAAGAAAGAAAGAAAGAAAGAGAAAGAAAGAAAGAAAGAAAGAAAGAAAGAAAGAAAGAAAGAAAGAAAGAAAGTTGACTTCTGACTCCTTTTGGTCCAATAGAATAAGGTAACAGCATAAAACCTCAACTTTTTACTTTTATATAATAATATGAAATAAACATTTCTATAACAACAAACCTACAGTGAATCCAGAAAATCTTCATACACCCCCCTTCAATTTTGTCAATTTTGTTATGCTGTAGTCTGATTCTACAGTTGTTGACATTCATTTTTTCCTCATTAATCTACACCCAGTACCCCATAAGGACAAAGCCAAAACAGAATTTTGTAAATTTATTAAATACTGCCTGAATGCACTGTATTTAATTGGCAAAACCAAAACCAAAGTTTCATTTTTCTACCTTAATCACAAAGTCCAGAAGTGGTTTCCAAGTAGAAACAAAAGTAATTGTGTGTGTGTGTGTTTTTGCTTTAATCAAAGCAGTCTATTTAGCCATCTCTGCTAACTTCATCAACTTTTGCAGCCATTTGCCAATTGTGGGAATCAAATTGTCCTTCCATTTTTGAGCATAAATTAATCTTACTGCCATCAACAAAAACAGTTTTTTCCCCAAATCTTTTTCCATTAGACCCAAAAGAAAAGTCTTTGGTTTTATCTTTATATTCACTTTAAGAACCTGCAGATTCTTCATTTTTAAAAAGTAACTTTTCTTACCAAAAAATAGGGAGATTATTATGCATATTTCTATATAATATACTAAAAGCCATAACCAGATGTAAAGATTAGATGTTGAAAGATGGTGTCACTATGTATGTTTTAATTATATTGTTATTGTCATTAAAATGGCATACCAAAATAATGAACAACTAAATGAGCTCCAGGCTCATGAATTAATTAGGGCATCCATTGGAACCCTGACAGCAGACCTGTATTCTCACGCAAATATGTATATTACAATTACATAAGTATGATTAAAGTAACAAATATTATTAATACTACCATTACTACTTGTATCCAAAGGAATGATACCCAGATGCCTCACTGTTCATGTATTGATGTTGATGTATATTCAAAAATTTAAAGAAAACTTAATTTTTTAAAAAATCTTTTCTTCCATGTTTGAAAATTTCTCCTCCATTCTTCCTTCCAGTGAGGCTAAATCTCTCTCGACTGATTTAGTCACATTTTCCCTTATGTCCTCGAATACCCTTTGCAGTATTTTCTGATAGAATCTCCTTTTTTGTCATTTGGTCCATTAAACATCCCCCCCTCAATTCTGCAAGTTTCACTGCTTTCTTAGCAGTAGCCTTTCTTTCATTTATAATCCAGTAAGAAAAAGTAAAAATAAGAGACAGGCTCCAGTTTCCACCTGCTCTTTGGTCACATTCATCACTCTGTAGTTCTGGGGTCTACATGATCTTCTATGTAGATCAGCGGTCTCCAAACTTGACAGCTTTAAGACCTGTGGACTTCAACTACCAGAATTCCTCCTTCAGTCATGTTAGCTCAGGAATTCTGGGAGTTGAAGTCCACAAGTCTTAAACTTGCCAAGTTTGAAGACCCTTGATGTAGAATAGATGATACATGACCTATGATCTCTATGATCTCTTGCAACTTTCTCTTTCTTCTTTCCCGGTGAGATTATGCATTATTTATTTCATTATTTAAAAAACACTTTAAAGTAAATAATCCTAAATTCAACTGTCCCAATCTTCTTCTGTTCAATCTTATTTCGGACCCAGCTTTTTGCTTTTAATTCTGCTTAAGTCCTTGTCTTTCTTTGCTTTTAGCTTTAATCTTTCACCATGGTGGAAGGATCACTCACTAGGTGGTATAATTGCTCTGCAGGTTTCAAAATACTTTTCAAGGTGCTTTAGAAAGAAGGGACTGGGGCCAACCATGTGCTGTTGAACAGGTTGCGTTGAGGCAGTGAGAATGGGATTTCTCCCATGGCTCCTGGTGCTCTTACTCATGAGTTGCCTGCAGATCTCCCTAAGAGGAACTGCCTTCTGGAGACATGTGGGCCAGTGGTGGGATTCTTTTTTTTTTTTTACTACCGGTTCTGTGGGCATGGCATGGTGGGCATGGTGTGGCTTGGTGGGCTTGGCAGGGGAAGGTTACTGCAAAATCCCCATTCCCTCCCCACTGCTGGATGACCTCAGTGGTCTCAGATAGAGGTTGAATAGGAGAGAATCCAGCCCTGAGGCACCTCATAACCCCAGAGGAAGATGGAGAGCCAGCACAATGCAGTGCCATCCATCCCAAATGCCTGAAGCCAGTTCAGCAGGACACCATGACTGATGGAATAATTAAACAGTGCAACCACACAAAATTCCTTGGTGGCAGAAGCAATGGAAAACTTGCAACAGGGAGAGTAGTGATAGG